GGAAAGGAGCGGGGAAGGTGTTTGGTGTTGCACCGGGTGGGAAAGGAATGGGGAAGGTGTTTGGGCTTGCACCACGGGAAGTGGGGCGAAGGAAGATGGAGGTTGAGGATTGCGGAGAGGATGCTCGGCGTATCAGAAACAGAGGCCTGTGTGTGGACGATGATTTCTTGCAGATGGTGGAGGTGGCAAACGGCTGGATCGCGGACTTCATGTGTTACTGTTTATATCGGTATTTCAAGGCAGGAATGTACGCGGAATTCAGGCTGATGAGGGATACCATGAATGGTCAGTGTTCCCTTCGGTCCCTTTTCCGTTTTACACTCCCACAGAATCTGTTCATCAGCCGTTACAAATCCTCCATCAGCATTATGCTGATCGAAGCTTAGAGCTTCCACTGCTTCCTGTCAGTTTTTAAAAATATATATATATTCCCTGGAGAGCTGGTTTCTCGCTTTCTTCGCCGTAAGTCTACTAAAGTTTAGGAAAAGGTACAGATCATTAGGGAGAGATGACTGGTGGTGGTTTAACTTGAGGGTCACCATGCCTCAGGCGAGGGGAGAGATTGAGAAGGAGAGTCCTTCAGGGTAACCTCAGTTGGTGTGGGATTTGAATCCACACTGTTGGCATCACAAACCAGCTGTCCAGCCAACTGATGACTGCAGGAACATTACAGCCAATCTCGGCTAAAGTTTGAAGTATAAACTGGAAGTGATGGAAAGACTCTGGTCTGTAAGCATTTGTGGATTGAGAAAGTGAAATACTGTTTTGAGTGGCTTTATGACTTCATGATAAAGGGAGATGAAATTTGATGGATTTTAAGCTGATGAAGGGGAGGATGATGAAGAAGGTCAAAACAGTACTCTAGTTGTTGTCTGACTAATGCTGTCCATTTGCAAAACATTTCATTTGCCTTACCTATTATGTGCTGAATTTGATTGCTAGGTTCTTGTGATTCATGGATGAGGACTCCCAAATTTCATTGTTACGTTGCTCTCTATGGCCTTTTTCCATTTAAATAATATTCAGCTCACTTATTCTTCCTGCCAAAGTGCATAGCCTCACATTTTTCCAAATTATGTTCCATCTGCCAAGTTTTTACCCATTTGAGACCAGTCTGTGTGTCTCTCTGCAGTCTCTCTGTATCATTCTCAGTACTGGCCTTCCCACCTATTTTTGTGATACCTGCAAACTTGGCTGCAGTATATTTGTGTTCAAAGTCATGAAATATGCACTGTAAACATTTGTGGCTCCACAGCACTGATCCCATTGTCACACCATTACTTACAGGATCTGCTATCCTAAAAATAGCCCCCCTTGTCCCAATTCTGTCTTTTATTAGTTAACCAATCCTCTGTCCATGCTCATATACAACTTCCACCACCATGGCTGTTATCTTATTAAGTGGCCTAACATGTGATACCTTATTGAAAATTAAATATCCATTGTGCTACAGTCACTTTCCCTTTATCTATTCTGCTTGATACCACCTCAAAGATTTTGAGTAAATTTGTCAGCCATGATTTTATGTCATAGAGACATGCTGACTCTGCTTAATTATATAATGTATTTTCAAATAGTCTACTATTATGTCCTTTACAGTAAACTCTGAACATTTTCTTGATGATAGACATTAAACTAGTTGGGTTAACATTTTGGGTCCAATGACCTTTCTCCTTACCCCAATCCCCACACACCAGGCCTTGTTAGCATGTGGTCTACTATTACACACTATCCATTGTTAGCTGCAAACAGTCCCCACTAGTAGCTATTCGTTCTCCTAGGCTGATAGTTATCCATTCCTTTGTCTGTCTGACTGTTCTCTCCCTTTGGGTTCTATCTGCAGCTATTGTTTATTCCTTGCCACTCACCGCATAAAAACCAACTTTTCCTACCTATTATCAGCTCCGAAGGAGGGTCACTGGACCCGAAGTGTTAACTGATTTCCCTCCACAGATACTGCAACACCTGGTGAGTTCTTCCACCAATTTCTGTTTGCATCTGTGGTTCTTTTGGGTTTTTTTATTTAAGCAAACTGGTCTATATAATCTATTCTTTGTCTCCTTCCACCTTTATTTAAAGATTCATGTTGGAAGTTTTCCAGTTTCCTGGGACATTCTGAAATCTAAGATTCCTGGATGATTGATGCCATTGCATAGGCAATGTCTGTAGTTACTTTCATCCCCATATCTCAGGAAGGATGTACTGACTCTGGAGCGGGTTCAGAGGAGGTTCACGAGAACGGTCCTAGGAATGGAAAGCTTATCATATGAGGAACGTTTGAGGACTCTAGGACTATACTCATTGGAGTTTAGAAGGATGAGGGGGGATCTAATTGAAACTTACAGAATATCAAATGGCCTGGACAGAGTGGATGTTGGGAAGATGCTTCCATTGGTAGGAGAGACTAGGACCCAAGGGCACAGCCTTACAGTAAAGGGAAGACCTTTTAGAACGGAGATAAGAGAAACTTCTTCAGCCAGGGAGTGGTGAATCTATGGAATTCACTGCCACAGAAGGCTGTGGAGGCCAGGTCATTGAGTACATTTAAGACTGAGATAGATATGTTCTCAAGGGGAACAAGGGTTACAAGGAGAAAGCGGGAGAATGGGGTTGAGGAACTTATCAGCCATGATTGAATGGCAGAGCAAACTCGATGGGCCGAAAGGCCTAATTTCTGCTCCTATGTCTTATTACCAGAAAATAAAAGGAAGGGACAGAATGTGTCACTGTCATATTGAGCCAATGAGCCATAAAAGTGTAGGGAAATTTGGTAGTAGAATGGACTGAACAGTTTTATATCTTAATGCACAAAGCATTTTCAGTATGGTAGACAAACTGATGGCGCAAATTGATGAGTATGAGCTCAGCCATTATGGAAAGATGGTTACAATGAGAATAAAACTGGGAACTTAACATTCAAAGATATTTGACTTTTCAAAAAGTCAGAAGGGATGCAAAAGGTGGTGGGGTAGCGCTGTTAATAAGAGATGAAATGAGGACAATTTTTGAGAGACAATCTAGGCTTGGGATGATGTTGATTCACATGCAAGGGGAAGAAGATATTGGTAGGAACAGAGTGCAGATCCCCAAACAGTAGCAACTTTATAGGAAAGGCAGCAAAAAATAAAAGCATGTAAAAAGAATAGAGAAGTAATTATGGGTGACCTTAATCTTCGTGTTGATTGAGTTAATGAATTTGGAAATGAATTAATGAATTTGGAAATCACTCTCAAGTTTAGTGCAGTTGTTTCTGAGCTAAGTTCATCAGTCTCAAACTGAAATCTTAATTGTGGCGTGTTATGGTCACTATTTCCTAGAGGATCTTTTTCTCTGACATCATTTATTAAACCTGTATTGACCTAGGAACCTGTCTCAAATACACTTTATGAATTCTTCTCATTGCCTTTGTTCCATGCTGTCATTATCTCCTGAGTTATTCTTTGTCTCACATATAGCTACTGTTACAGAATCTATAGACACTCCCACCACTCAGTCCATCCCGTTACAACAATGCCACCCTACTGCCATTTCCTTTCTGACTGTCCTTTCAAAAAGTCACATACCCCTGAATATTTAGTTCCCAGCTTTGATCTCTTTGTAACCATGGCGGTGAGATCATACATGTTAACTTGTATTTGTGTCGTTAATTCATCTATTCTGTTCTGAATACTATGCACACTCAAGTAAAGAGCCATTGATTTTGCATTTTTTACCCTTTTGACCCTGTCAATTGCTGTTTTTCTGTTTGTATACTCTGTCCCTTCCCCCCTCACCCTGGGTATTGTTATCCAAATATCTCCCCTGCAATGCTGCCATACCTTCTTGCAAGCCTACATTTCCCCTATGCCAAATTCCCTCTTCCCCCCCAGATTAGCAACCTGATTTATTGAATTTGTCAGGACACTGGTCTCAACATCATTCAAGTGAAACCCATCCCACCAGAACAGTTCCCTGCTACCCCAGTGGCCATAAACTGAAATCTTTTCCATGCTCACTTACCTAGGAGCTAAGCATTAGCTCCTTGACTTTATTTACCCTGTGACTCAGTTAATAATCCAGGAATTATTACCTTGGAGATACTGCTTTCGAATTTAGTTCCTAACTTTTCATAGTCTTTCAGCAAAACCTCTTTTCCAGTCCTACCAATGCCTCCCTCCCTTCCCTCTCCCAATTCTTCTTCAACTATTTGGAGACATCCTTAACCCGGGCAATGGGCAGTTAACACAACACTCGGGACTCCTGCTCACGGCTGCAGAAAACAGTTTCTCTCACCCTAATTATATTGTCCCTGATCACAACTAGATTCCTGTTCCTTTCCCCAACTTGAATGCCAAGGTGCTATGGTCAGTTTGCTAATCTTCCCTGCAGTCCACATTCTTGTTCACACAGCTTGCAAGAACCCTGGAACTGCTCGGCAAATGCAGGGGCCAAAGCTTCTCAATTTTAAACCCCCTAGGTCCTCATACCTGCCTCACCCACAGTCACACCTTTCTGACACCGTTCACAGACCAGTTTTGAGTGACTTAATCTGAGGGGTGTGACTGTCCTCTGGAGCAAAGTGTCCAAGTAAGTTTTCCCTTCACTGATGTGATGCAATGTGTGCAGCTCAGATTTCAGCTCCTCAACTCGGATCTGACATTCCTCCATTTGCAAATACTAGCTGGAGATGTGTTAGTTCTAGATCATATCGGTGCCCATTTGCTTCCCCGTGTTGCAGTAGCAAACATCACCCATTCTGCCATTTCTATTGTGTTTGGTTTAACTTATAAATTAATTACTCGAGATTTCCTGTTCTTTATAATTCACTGTACTGATGTATTGTTTTTATAAGCTAAAAAGAGAAATATCACCAATATCAATCCAATGCTTAAGTAGTTACTTTATTAAAAATAGAAGAAAAGCAATGGAGACCAAAACACAAACTGAAGACCTTACTTCTACTTGAAAGAGTACAAATATTCACCAATCCTATTCACCATTCGAGCTCTTTCCCTGTGCACACGTCATAATATAACTCTGCTGCTGGTTTCACTGCAGATAGGCCTCTTGATCCAGACCTTCTATCCTCTCCCATCAAGCTGACAGTGTGGAAATTTTGCCTCATTTCAAAGGTTGATGATTAGGTTCTCTATTGTTGGAGTTGGTTATTGGCTGACACTCGTGTAGTTTGAATGTTACTTGCCACTTGTCAACCCAGTACTGGATGTCATCCAGCTCTTGCTGCATTTGGACGTGGAATGCTTTAGTATCTGCAAAGTTGTGAATAGTACTGTACATTATGCAAT